GAACTTTTACCTTTTCAAGGTGCTTTCACATCTTAAGTTGTCATTTGACTTTCTTTGGGCAGAAAGAGCAAGTATTTTTTTTATCATTTGTACAAATTGAAATTGACACTAAGATATTTTATCATTGTTGGTAGAACTGATTAGTAACAGAACTAGAATTAGAATACTCTCTGACACTTGGGAAAATGTTTTCCTCATCTGATGGTGACATTTTGTGAACTCAAAATTTTAACATCATTAAATTACATTGACCATAATATCAATAATCATAAACTAAGAGTATTAAAATCATGGTTACTAACCACTATCTGAGGGGGTAAAAACTCACTCCCCTCCATCTTGCATAAGTCCTCTGTCTGCATAGTTTTATTTCTTCCCACCTTCATCCACTTTCCCATAGCTTTAGCTCAGTCCTGATTCATATGGCTGCCACTTTTCTTCATCTAACTCTTTCCTTCTACACCTGCATATTTATCAAAATTATCTATGTATCCTCACAACAATCATGAGAAGTAGGCGTGATTATTATCTCTGTTTTACAGAGGAGGAAGCTGATTTGAGTTTAGACAGAGATTAAGTGACTTGCCCAGGATCTCATAGCTAGTTAAGTGTTTAAAGCTGGATTTGAACACAGGTCTTTTTCACTCTAGGTCCAGTGTTCTATACACTGCACCTATATAGTGGATCACTAAATCATAAAGTTGTGAACAAAGAATTAATGTCTAGAAACCGTTAAAAAGAGTATTAATTTTGTACATGGTTGACCAGAACATACAAAATGATCCAAAAGTCTAAGTACCATTTTAGAGTTTTAGAACACTTTGAATACCTACTTGCATATGCATGAATCCTTTACTTCATGCAATAGGAGTTCCTGTTGGTTTGTACATAAATTACATCCTGATTTTACTAAGGGAGCTGGCTATTTAATGAAAAGTTTTGGTGAATATTTTCTGAAAGTAAATATTGAACTACTGATTAACCTGTTTTATATACCATGTTTCCTTAATGTGAGGCCCATGTTGTATATGTGACCTTGGGTTGAAGTTACCTCAGCCACATGGGCCTGTTTACTGATAAAATAAGAACATTGGATTAGTTGGGTTTTTTTAAAGAACCCTTCTAACATTCTTTGAATCATGTGTATGGAAGTCCTTGAGTAGGATTTAATGTGTTTTCACACTTTGCATGTGAATATTTCTGCTAAAGTGTGATTTCCAGGAAGCTTTAAGGCACTGCATGTCATTGCATTGAGCCAGGAGCTTTAAAACTTGTGCCTTCAGAGCAGTGAGAGAGCTTAGGATGCTTCATGTTTGGGGTATGGAACCATATTGGTGTAGTTTTGGCTGCACAAAGATAAGAGAATTATAATTTTTTTTTAAAAAAAGTAGCCATTTGTAAATGTGTGCATAAAACATGTCTCTAAACATATATACAAAAAAGCACATAAAATTAAGTATTAGGCCATGCACATGAAAAACATTGTTTTTGGTAAGAAATGTAGCTTGTGTTTCAGTGTGTAATAAAATCTAATGGTGAGAATAAAGTTTTGAATGGCATAAATGATTATTCTGAATATATTTACTTTTTTAACGTCCAGAGTGTTGTGTGGAACTAAATCAGGGGTCTGGACAAGGATTTCTGTACATTAGCAATAAAAGAATATTACAATATTTTAGTGTGACATTTTAAAGTCAGTCACATGGAGAGAGCATCTTTATGCACAACATACACCCTGCAGCAGCATTTATATTTGCATCTTCTACAGGTCTGCTGTATCTTTTAGGAATAGACAGCAGCTCTCTTATATAAGAGTCAAGTAGCCCTTTTTCTGAGCCAAATTATTAACAGCCATCGGTCTTTTAAAAACTACAATCAGGATTTGTTAAAGTTGTGAAATGACAATAGTAGGGGTATCTTTGTGGTGGTGTTTTAATATTTATTGGATTACCACATTGCACACTAGGCACTAAAATACCACATGATATGGGTACAAATTGGAGGCAGATTTCAGTTCAGTATAAAGAAACAGCATTAGCTACATCAATCAATAGACATTTATTAAGCACCTTATGCACCAACAACTTGTTAGGCACTGGAAATACAAAGACAAAAAGAAAAGGCCTAAAAGAGCTTTTGTTGGGGGGCAGAATGCACATATATAGGCATATTCCAAATAGATACAAAGCAATTTCACGAGAAAGGAAGTAGCACCTGGGGAATTAGAAAAGGCCTGATGTAGGAGATGGGGTCTGTAAGATGAGCTTTGTGTCCACCCAAGATTCTGAGACAGAGGAGAGTAGGGAATCTGTTCCAGAGTGGGGGACAGCCTGTGCAGAAGCACAGAAGCAGAAAGGGGGATGCTAAGTGCAAAGAACAGCAAGAAGGCCAGTTTGACTCTCATAGAGTGTATTGGGGGTGGGGTGGGTCTAATGATAAGCCTAGAAAGGCAATTGGGTGAAAAAGGACTTTAGATCATAGAGGTAATAGCTTATTGAGAAGGGTACTGACTTGCTTTTGGGGAATATCAGATTGGTAGCTGAATGACGAGGGAAGAGACTGGAGGCAGAGAAACCAATTAGAAAACTTGCAATAGCCCAGATGAGAGGTGATAAATACCTGATGACATCTCATCAGGAATGCCATGGAAGGGAAGTTGGACTAGGTAGGTGATCTCTGAGCTTAAGATTCTATCATTCTAATGCAGATATCACAACAAAGTGTGTATCGTCTAATAGTTAACTTTTGTATACATTGATTAACCGGTTTTTTAGAATTTGTCAGCTAAAAAAAACCAAAAACCAAAAGAATGCCTATGTTTGTAGTGGCATTATAAGATGTCTTATGCCAGGCTCTCCCTTTTTCTAGCCTAAGTAAAGAGAAACAGGGTCCATCTCAGGCAAAGCTGTAAATATTTTGACGTTAGTCTTATGTCCACAGCCTTCTCTTTCTGTACCTCTTTCTATTCACCTTGGTAACAGTGGCAATTTGTCACTTCTGTCCCTGTACTCTATCTTCCTGTTCTCACCCTCTGTAAAGGACTCTTAAACAGTCAATTAAGATAATTGACTAATAACAGTTTACCCCAGTGAGTTTCATTTATAGTGTAATCTTCTTCAGAATAACTTACTGCTATCCTGGTAATTCCTGAACTGCAGGAATTCACTTCCCTTTATCATATATTTTTTCTAGGCCCTCCCAGGATCTCATCCTATCCTGGCAAAAGCCTGCCTTTCCCTGAACCTCGTTCCCCTCAACACAGGTAGATTACCTTCCTCTATCTTTACTGCCTTGAACCCAGTTCCAGCTCTCTTTTACCCCTTCCTTTCCAGTACTCCCAGATAGTTTGTTTTCTGACACCAGTGTTGTTCCTTTAGTTTGTATTTAATGATTTTTCAACCCCCTGGAATGTTCCGTCCTGTGTTTCTATCAGTTTATGATAGTTTATGACAAAGTGTATCATTTGAGAATGTCTTCTGCAGTAGAATGACAACTATTTAAAAGAGCATGTTTCACGTTTTTAATTGTCCATTAACATTCCTTAAAGATTCTCTATTGCCTGAGAATATGCGAACTGTACAGATTTTATTTCTGCTTTAAACTGTTGCTCCTTCTTGGTTCCTCTGTAGACTCAGCTTGCTGCAGTGCATCTTGTCCCATTTCACTGAATGCAAGTGTGTGAAAAAGGACCCAGTAATCAAGTTAGAAAGAAAAGGGGGAAAATATTTTTAACATTTTTAAATACTTTCATTGGCAGCAATGAGAAATTTATTAAAAATAAGAATTATCGTATAAGTGTGATACATTCAAAATTATTATGTTGAGAGATTAGTGATGTTTCAAGAGTTTGATGACCTTCCTTTCCACTTGCTCAGCTCATATTTATGAGTCTTCCCAAAAGCAAGTTTTAATTTTTTCTTTAGAAAAGTGTTTTTATGGCTCTCTAAAATTGTGGCACTCAGAAATTAAATGTCAAGAAATGGAAAATTTCTTCATGCTCTCATTAGAGAAATATTTTAATTTTAAAAGATATTTGTTATTCCTCTTAGGCCATATCTTCTAAGCAACAGCATCAGCCCCATTACCGAGAGAAGGCTTTATTAATAATTGGACTACTCTGGCAGCCTGATTTGTACTACAAAAGTGAAATCACTATCCTCCTTTATTGAAAGCAGGTTGACAAAGCTGTGATTATCTGCTTTTCTAAATTTTGATAATAAAGTTCTCTCTGCCTTCCCTCCCCACCCTCGGGAAGATTTGCCTTTGGTTAAATTTGACCATGTTGATCCTAAAGGTCGTTTCCTGGAGCTGATGATGTTCAAGGATTATGGCATTGTGTACCATACTTTATAGAAAAGGAACTTCCCATGTTGCCAGCACTTTGAGATGCATAGATAGCATTTATGTTAGCACATTCCATACTGTAGCTTATTCTGTTAACTTCTTTTGGTTCTTATCTGACTTATATTTTTGTAGCCTCTGGAGCATATTTGCTAGAATTGGATGAGCTATGATGGTCTTAGACAAAATGATCTTGGAACTTAGTATGAATAATAACAGGGGACAACTTGACCTGTGATTTGTTTTCGTCACTGACTTGGTGTAAAAGGTATTTCCAAATATAGAAGTTGAGTTTTGGACTAACTGGACGTAACTTTTCACATGTATCTCAGAGCAGAGGGATGGTGATATTTATAAACAAATGGTACTATTGACAAACCAAATTCCACAGCAAAAAAGGAGGAGATTAATGTATGTTTCTGATGTTACATTGCCCTTTTGGTGAATTTTTCCCATACTGAGAGAAAATACATTTTGCATCATTGGGAATTTAAAGCAGTAGAGAATAATAAAGGCATCTAGAATGACCTACTTATGACATATGACTATATACTTAAGTGTTCTCAACTCCAAGAATCTCCATACTTCTTTCACTATAGTCTCATTATTTCCATTTTTTTTTCTTGCCTTAGTTATTGTACCTAGGATGGGAAACCATCTCACACCATACCCAAGATACGGGCCACCCACCAGCTACAAGGCATGACCACTCTGCAAGCTGAGCGACAACCTTGGTAGTTATAAGGCCAGGGAAAGTATCCACCAAGAGGCTCACAGATCCTTTGGCAGTGAGTGTAACTCCGCCGGCATTCAATACAGCAGATGCCTTCATGATCTAGTCTGGGGTCAAATGTCATGCCTTCACCTTCTTCTAGTTGCTGTAAGAGAAAAGAATTGTTTGTTTTTTCTTTGGGATGTAAAGTTCACTTTGTGTACATGGTTTCAGAATTAGATCCTGAATTTTTCATTGCGACAAGAATCAGGATAGGCTAATGTGAAGAGTCTTTAATATTTTTTAAAGCTTGAAAGTTACATAAAATTCCTTCTGATTTCATGGAACCGCCACCTAACAAAACTGCCATTGAAGAGGGAAAGTGCTACATTGCAGTTTCCTACATTACAGAGCTGTGGTTATTAGGCATCATTAAGCACACAGACACAGAACAAAAAAAGAATCTACCACTGCCAATTTAATTTCCGTGGGCCACCTAGTGATTTCTTGTTGGGATGGCTCTAAATCTCTAGGTGGCATAGTTTGGAACCCAGTGATCTAATGGTGGAAGAGGGGGGAGCTAATTATCATAATTCAAGTTGTAACTCTCAGTAGGGATCCTCAAGAAATGATATAACTTCTTCCTCCTGCCTTCATTTCAGCATTGGGGATAAAAAAATATTCCTTGAAACTCAAGTCACTGAGGAAAATATGCTGTGCAAATGAATCCAAATTCAAGATCTTAAATGTAACTGTAGACTTTGGAATACCAGAATTAGTGCAACTCAAAGAAAGGAACAAAAATCAGTTAGAGAAAGTGCTTTGGTGGAAAAGATTGGCCAGAAAGTCTTCTGGCCCTCAGTGTGTTTGGTTTCTAAAACAAAATCTGAAACATTTGAATTCTTAGATTTGTCTCTTTCCCTTTTAAGTGCTATGCAGAAAAACAACGTAGGTTAATTGAAAATTCCACTTGGGTCCATCAAGATTTTACTGTACATGGGCAAGGCTTGCATGGGGGTGGGGGTAGGGGATTGGGGGTGGAGGGTCTTCATTCTCACAGGCTTGTGTTTTAAAAGTTATTACTAAACAAGAAAAAAAGTTTCCACTGAGTGTTAAATGTTTGTTTCAAAATACATATTCTGAAACATTTTAAATACTATATTAATCTGAACATAACTACTCACATGGTAAGGATTATCTGGATTGAAGGGTTTTGTATCCTCCTGAATACTGGGCCTTGTTTCATTAACTGGCCTTCCAGTGCTTGGATTATCCTGGGGCCCACTATTTGGTCTTCTTGTAGTAGCTTGATGAATTTTTCTCAAGATTTCTCTTCGTTCTCTTTGGTTTTCTGCAAGAAGAGATGTTACTTTATTTCCCTAGCTAAAAATAAAAGTTCAAATTTTATTGCTTCTACGTGAAAATGAAGCAGAAGGCCACAGGCCACAGTTTAGGTAGGTATTTGAAAAACTTGTCTCTTCTTTGATGATTATGAAAATGGCATTTAATTGATTGTGTTTTAAAAAACTTTTAAAAATTTTATCCTTCAGAGAGAATGTCAGCTCCCTAATATGTATGATGGTGAGTATCATCAATATGGTTTTTAAAAAGGATGTTAATGAATGATAGCACTCCTCCATAAGAAGTTAATTTTTAAGCATCAAGGCACTTGTAAATATTCATTGTAATTAAAGGTGAATTTAAAAATATTAAAATGAAGGTTAACATTGGTGTACTGTGGCCACCTGCTAAACCCTAGAGAAAAGGAAAGCAGATTAGTAGTTCATGGAATAACCCTAAGTGAGCATTAAAACATAAACAAAATTAGTTACCACCTAATATGGATATGAGGAGAATTTTCAAAGTTAATAGATAGTCATCCCAGAATCTAGGATAGTAAACACCAAGGGTAGTCAAAGTTTGGTTGTGTATCTTAAACATTTGTATAGAGCTTTATTGTTTGAAAGGTACTTTCAAATCTCACCAAACTCAATTCAATTTAAAAACATCTCAGCCCATTGAAAGAGACAGTAACTATTATTCTCATTTTAAGGGTGAGAAAACAGATTCTAATAATTTCAGTGACTTGTCCAAGGCTAGTACTTGGCCATCTGAAATGAGATCACAGATCTCTCAGCTTCTAGGCCAGCATTTTCTTCCCATATTTGTTCTTTGGTGTTATAGAATGACATGTGGATACTAAGCATAAAAATGTCACAAAATTTGAAATCTTAACAGAGCTCAAACATGCTAAAGCAGTTTTTTAAGCTATAGTCACTTCCCACTAAGACTGTGTATGGTCTGTGATGAATTTGTTGAGTCCCGTATTAATTGAGTCTGTTACCCAGACATTTTAAGCTAGAAAATGTAGGAACAAGAAAGTATGTACTACTAAACTTCAGAGATTTGTTGGGATATTATTATTAATAAATATGATAATAGCTGACACATACATATGTATATATCACTTGAAAGTTCAAAAAGTTCTTTTATATACATTATCTTCAGCTCAACTTCAGTACCCTCCAACTCCCCTGCTCTCCTAATCCATTGGTCTGACCTCACTTTCCACTCTTCACTGTCTTGATCCCATATTTAACCAATTCAACTCCACCCTTGACTTCCTTGGCCCTTTGTCCTGCCACTTACACCCTACCCATCCTCAGCTCTGAATTATTCCCACCTTGTACCTTCTTGATCTTTCATCTGCTTATCCTATTTCTAAATTTCTGATTGCTAGAGGAAATCACAGCACTCTATTGATTACATAACATGAACTTACAGTGGACCCAGTCTGAATTAGGCCCTCACTGAAGTGCCCCAATTATAGATTTAGAGCCAGAAGTTACGTTTTTTAACCTGGTCCTCTCAGCCGGGGTTCCAAATATCTGTGGCCTTCAATGCTACGCTCACCACCATCCCCTTCAGAAGATGTCCTCATTTCCATTTTACTTAGAGTAGAGGTCCTTTGAGAGCTTCTTTATCATCCACACTTCAAAATCTTTGTTACATCTTCATCCACTCTTTTATCTTTGTCCCTCCCTTCTGCCCAAATGTGGCCCCAATTACATCCCTTCCCTTTTCTAGAATTTTTCCATTGTTCATATTGTGTTGTTCTCTCCCTTCTTCCCCTTATCTTCCCATCTTCCCTCTCTTCTCTCTTCTCCCTTTCCTGCTTACTCCCTGACCCTTCCACTTGATATCTTTACTTCCCACTTGCTTCTCAACCCTTTGCAATCTAACTTCAACTCCCACTGCTCTCTTCAAACTTCTCATTCTAAGGTTTGTTGGTTTTGTTGAAGAGGCAGCAGGTACAGGTTGGATTAGATGGCTTTTGACTTAAAGATGACCTCCTTCTAATTGTATGGTTTTGGTCCTTCTCAGTTATCTATTGCTCAATCACCGTCTTCTTCCTTATTGTGGATACCACCCACCAGTGGCTCTGTCCTGAGCCATTTTCGCTCTTTATTGCTTCCTATTGATCTCCATGGGGTCAGATGACCCCAAAATTCTTTATCTGCAGCTACAGTTTCTCTCCTCAACTCCAATTCTTAAATGTCTGAATTGTTAACTGCCTGCTAGATATTCTAGTTTGATATCTTTTATATATTTCAATCATCTTGTCCAAAAGAGAATTCCCTTTCTCTCTAAATCCACCTTTACTCCAAATTTCCATCTTTCTATCGAGTGCCTCCTCTCAGTTAAGGGCATAACCTTCAGAGTGTCCTTAACACTTACCTCTCCCTCAACACTTCATTCCCAATATTTGTCTTTGTATTTTCAGCACCTGGCACAGTGTGTCAACCCACAGTAGGCACCATGTAGATGTTTACTGAATTGGATTGTTGTGGTTGAAATAATGTTATTGGGTAGATTCTACTGATGTTATCATCCCCACTTAACAGTAAAGAAACTTCATCTCATGTTAAGTGTCTTGACTCAGGTTATATTACTAGGATCTGAGACAGGATTCACATTCAGATTTCTTTCAATTCCCAAGTCCAGTGCTCTGCTCCTCTTTCTACCATAGAGAATCAAGCACCTTCAGAGGGACACTGTTACAGCCTCTGTATTGTGTTATTTGACAATCCAAAAATCATAGGTCCTCCATCTAAAGACCTTAATCGTCTTAATTATAGTCTTTACCTGATTCTGTAGATTCAGACACAAGACTTAAAACAGCAGGTCTTCCTTAAAGTCCAGCACTGTTCTCTATGCCAGCAATTCTCAAACATTTTGGTCTGGTGACCTTCTTACACTCTTAAAAATTATTGTTGCCTCCCCAGGTTTTTGTATATATGGGTTATATTCACTGATATATATCATATTAGAAATTAAAATGTCTTAGTATTATTGTGAAAATAGTTTTGGCCTCATGGATTCCCTGAAAAGGTCTCTCAGACTCCTAGGGTTCCTTGGACCGTACTCTGAGTACCATTGCTCTACGCTACGGGCCCCCTTAGATATATTTCATTATTCCAGCTTGTGGGTATCGATATTTTACTATCACAGTACTTTGAGATAAAATTAATGGCACCAGACAACACCACCCATTGCAAACTCACCTGGGTCTGAAATGCCAAACCTGCTCCAATTCATGCTTGGTTTTACTTGTTTAAAGGTACTTAGGGAGTGAAAAGGGAGAGTAATGAGGCATAGGGACAACTTTTTGGTCACTAAGACTTAATGAGGTCCATATGTTTGCTTTGCTTCCTTTTTGATCCTTTTGAGAAGATCATTCTCTAAGACATTTGGTGACTGTAATTTGAATCTTGACCAACACTACATGGCACCATACTGCCTTTTTTTGGTTTCCTTTTAATATTTTAAATGTGTGTGTATATGTGCATAGATAAACACACATGTGCATATGGGTATATAAAATCATAAATTTTGGGGTTGACTTTTAAATTTAAAAAAGTAGTGATGCTGAAATAAGATCCTCACTATGTTTATTTGTATATTGATAGAATGAAGCATGTTTTATATAGGTCTGAAATGCAGCATAGCAGAATAGAGGTTTGGCCATTGAGTTAGGAATACCTAGATTTAAGTCTTGCTTCTGACTCTAACCATTGGGCAAGTAAATCACTTTACCTCTCAGTTGCCCCTGGCAACTCCCCTAAGACTAAGTTACTGAGAAGTTAGGAGGAACCTCCCACACTGGTAAAATGACAGGTCTACTCCTTACTCCCAAAGTAGATTTGTTAGACCCTATACTATTATGGTGTTTGTACTTAACAAAAAAACAAAATTATTAGACTGCTATACTTTTGCCAGGAGCAGAGATGAACCAAGTGTAATGCCAGAGGTATAGACCTTATGATGGATATTAACTTACAACTTTGGACCTGCCTAACTGGAATCTTTCTTTTCTTTTTTCTTTTTTTAAACTAAGATTTGAAAACCAATGCTTGAGGCTGGAATTGTGTGATGAGTCCTTGCATAAGCTTTCAGCATCTTGAGGCTTTCCCACAATTCTATGCATGAACAATGATTTTATGCTTCAGTAGCAGAAGAGCAAAGTCAAAATGAACAAACAGCAAAGATTCAGAGGCCAAGGTAACGAAAAAATGAACTTATTAAATGAAAATTATAGGTAATGAATATAGTTATATCTTCCTTCATTCTCATTTCCCTACCATTAATGCTCAATTACAGTTGTCTTTATTTCCTGTTTTATCTAGCCTGCTAATTATTAAGGCCTGTCCATACATCTTGATTTATCTTTCTAATTGGCCCAGTTTTTTAATGCTTCATGTGGAGTGACTTACAGGATCCAGATAAAAACCACGAAATTTTTAAGTAGTGTTCATCTGAAAATTAAAATGTTACCTTTTGGATGTGTTGGTTTAAGCCAGAAAATAGGAAGATCTCCACAGAGTTCTAAGATTTTAGTACTCAGGAAGCTGTTATCCTTAACAGGCTGGTCTGCAGCTACCCAGATAAGAGAATTTTCTTCAAATTTAACTGGCATGATCTTGCCTTCCTGTGAGCAGTTAAAAACAAAATGCACTGGTAGTTTAGCAGAGGACAATGGATCATTTTATATATGCGTGGAATATTAAGATTCATTTGTTCCTGTAAGATTATTAAATTTTATACAAGCTTCATGAGAAATGACTACCAGGTGCCTTTTACAAAGATTGACTTCTTTTTGTAGTCATTTACATAATCTTCAGAGGTGTGTCATTCAGAGGTGGTTCTTTGGATTCCAGACTATTGGGATTGTTCCTACAAAGAAAAGCCAGGGTCCTGAGTTGAAAATGAAATTTATCTGCTTTTTAGTTTTAGGCTACTCAGGTGCTGGTAATTCAAGCTCTTTAGGAGGAAAAGCAGTGGAATGGACCCCCAAATTCTAATAAAGATACAGGAAACAGCCTTTCCCCTAACCCCCATTTGAAGATAGGACCAACTCTGCAGGTTTTTTTGTTTTGTTTTTTCAAAGAGCTTGAAGAAGGAGATGCAAACGATTGGCTCTTTAATGTTTTTTAGTTCAAAGTATTATTTAACATAAACTATTTTGACATTTTCTAGCTGTAGCTAAACATATTTCAGATGTCTGTGGCATCAAGCACACCAGTGAGATTTCAAAGTTAAACTCTAGATTTTCTTATATAGCAGGTTCCTTAGAGTGGTTTGATAACATAGGAGACAAATTTATTTTGCCAAGTTGTTCCTTTCATGTATTTATTCATCTGCAGTAGGTTGGGATATCAAAACACTTTTTTCCATTTTTTAAATCTAAAGCAGCACTTATTTACACTTTTCCCCTTGAGCTTATGGCTGATTTAAAATTACTTCATGTTACTGTGGAAAACTACTGTTCAATTAATCCATTTGTTCAACTTGGATTAGGTTGCCCCACCCAATATTTTATTATTGATGTCATTACTTTCTACATCAGATTCATTTCCTAGTGTCTCTCTTTCCCTTCTCCTCTAACTAAATTCAGTTATCTTTTAAAAGTTATGCAAAGTTTGTAGAAAATCTACTAAAACAGATTGCATAAAAGTCTGCTACATTTTTATCCAAATTGTGTGAGGTGGGGTGTGTTAAAATAGCTAAAACTAATTATTTTGAAGTTTATGCTTATCAGTACAGCTCATCGATGAGCCTAGAACAGCTCATAACGGAGTTGCCAAACTCTATCATTAGTATTACCCACAGGGAAGCCAACGTACATAGTAAAGAGTCCCCAAACAACAGGCTTTTTCATTGGCCCATGCTTGGGCCTAGCTAGCTAGGTGACAGCTGTGGAGCAGATCCTCACAAATACAGGATAGGAGGAACTGGCTGTATGAAAAAGACCTTGGAGTATAGTTTACTGTAATGTCAATATCAGTCAGCAACATGATGTAGCTGTCAGTTCACCTCCCACTCTGGGCCTTCCCACCTCCCAATACATCCTTTCCTTTCCCCTCCAAAAAGCAATTTTGATAGAATTATAATGTCCAGAACAAGAGGGATAATATGGTCATACTGTGAAATGCTGGTCAGGTCACAGCTGTAATATTTTCTTCAGTTCTGGGTGTCACATCTTAATAGGGACATTGATGAACCACATCATATCTAGAGGACAGTGACCACACCGGTAAAGGATCGCAAAACATTCTTATAGGATAAATAATTAAAGAAACTGAGAATATTTTTCACAGAAAAGAAAAAGGCTTAGGGGAAAATAACTTTTTAAATACCTGAAAAGCTGTCATGTGGAAGAGGGATTAGACATATTTTGCATAGACCTAGAGGGGAAACTGGGTCCAATAGGTGACATTTATGGAGAGAGGCTGGTTTAGGTGCCATTCATTCATAGCGCTTAGAGCCAGGAATCATCATGTATTTTAAGATATCCCCCTCACCCTGCCCTTAGCAAGATCATCTCGCTAAAAGAAAAGACTGCATTATGAAAGAGGAGTCTTTCAAAAATAGAGTTTTTCAGCCATAGAAACAAAAATAGTAATTTCCTTCAAGAGAGAAGTGGAAATTTGACCTGTGTTCCAGTCTTCTAAGACCAGGAGATTGAAGATGAAGAATTTTTACCACAGATTATTGGGAACTAGGCTTCTACTTTGTTAGCAAGTTGCTACTTACCAGTCCTGAGCTGATGCTCTGTTTAGTCTTGGCATCCACCTGAGGTATGTGAGCTTTCACTTGGACTTTAATATAACATTTTTCTCCTCCAGCAAAACGGATTCCAGTGATGCCCTAACAACAACAATAAAGATCTTTGGTGGTTGGTTACCTGTAATTAAGTACCTCTTAGCATAACATCTGATCCTCTGCTTCTTGGAAAACTACTCATTCTTCAGCTTTGAGTTCAGATACCACCTCCATGAAGCCTTCCCAGAACCCCATTAGCCAGGACTCATCTTTCCCTTTTTTGAATCCTGTAGTACATTGTATCATTAGTTTTGCATTTATGACATATAACCTTATTGTTTACGGTTTATTTTGTGCATCATTTCTTCTACCCTGAAGGAACAGGGCCCGAGTCTCAGACTTATATCTCACATGAGGACTAAAGAGCAAATAAGTCAACATAATTGAAAGCTGGTTCCTTAACTGTCTTTATAGATCTTTCCAAAGGGCTTTGAGATAAGGGTAAATAAATTAGCATAATCTAAAACCAGATAGTTAACTATTTTCCTGAATCTTTCCCAAGAGCTTTGATGTCTTGTCCTCACACCCTGTTCTCAAAATTATTTTACCTTGTCCATTTACTAACCTCAGTAACAAAACTCACAGCTCTGCAGTCCGTAGCAGTGGTTAAGTCGCTGTGATTGACCTTTCAAAGTTCAGTGAGTAAGTCTATGTACTTAGTTGAGGGTGGTGGAATCCAGCATTTTAGGTTTATTGTAATGTTTTGTTTTCATGGCTAAAAACAAGTTTCACAGCTTAAAACAGGATTCATAAAATTCCAAGTGTTTGAGGAAAGCTAAAGTGAGATTGTTCCCTACATCATAGGTTATAAGTAAAGCACTTTGCAGACTTTAAATTCAAGAATGTGACCTCTTCTTTCTCTTCTTGAATAAATGGAATAAATGAATGAAAAAGCATTTGCCTTGTGCCAAATGCTAGGGATGCAAATACAAAAGCCATATGGTTCCTGCCCATAAGGAATTTAAAACTTCTAAAGCAGACAGTTTAATACTTATAGGGGAGAGGTGGACTAGGAGGGATGCATTGGTTTGGGAATTCATAGGCACGGTGAGTGGAGACATAGTGGAGCTAATAGACTTTCCAGTAGCAATCATAGTATTAGTTTGATTATATTCCCAGAGAAAGTGGTTGCAGGGAAGGGTTGAAAGCTGAGGTAAGGTGCAAATGCTGCTCCATAATCTCGGCAAGTCACATCAACTCTGTAGGCCTCAGTTTTGAGGTCCCTTAATCCCTGTGATTTTAAAATGGTCCAGGTAGAATTTGAAGCATGACTTGGACCAATTAGAGTGACTTTGTGTTCACATATTTCTTCCTCTTCCACACTTCTTCCTCTTCTCTCTTCCCTTTTCATTTTCCTCATTGATCAAAGAGAAAGGGCCTGGAGGACCCCAAAAAGAAATACTTTCTAGGGCCTTGCGGTCTAAGGTGATTGAGCCTGGACTACAACCATGTTATTTCAGTACTTCAAGGAGAGTGTGGGTCCCTCCCTCCACTGATGACTCTTGAAACCCCTTTATCACTTGGTCTTTGAGAATGTAGCCCAGAAAATTGATCCACCTGACACCACCCTGGTGATGAGCATTTTCCAGACTTAGCCAGGCTCACCTTTTAGACCATAGCTCATAGCCTTTGAGAGTCACAGCTGAGTTTGGTCTGGTGGTCTGTGCTGTGTAGAGTACTGAAATAAAACAATCCATAGGGGATACCTATGGGAAGTAAAGGTTGCCTTCCCTCCCTGCCCCCCTCCCCCTTTCTCTCTCCTCTTCCTTCTTCCCTCCCCTTCTCAATTCTTCCCTTTTTTTCCCTCTTGTAGCTCCCCTCTTCTCTCTCCCTCCTGGGGGGGGGGGAAGGGGGAACTGTCAGCTACATCATGTTGCTGACTGATGTTGTCACTTCTCTGTACCCTCTTTTAAACTATCCCCACACACCCCCCAAATCCATGCGGAGACTTTAAGCAAATAGTTAAAGCAAGCAGTAATATTAAGGTAGTAAAACAAAGGGAGCTAAAAGAAGCAAATGACATCAATCACGCCTCCAGTTTATCAGACAAGTGCCTGGAAACAGGATGAAGAGAAAATAAAAAGCTGCTTTTAGTTGCATTACATGATGACTCCACTGAGCTAATTCTTTCATAATTGGAGGAGTCAGCCAGGTAACAGCATTAGCAATGGAAGGCTCAAAAAAAAAAAAAAAAAGGAGAAAGTACTAGTAGAACTACACCATCTGATTCATGCTTTTTGAAAGACCTAGGTTTATGGGCTAAGCTGGTAACAGATTCTCTCCATAAAAATATACTTACTGCTTGGATTGTGTATATGAAATGCTACTTCTGCCTGAACTGGAAGAATCCAAAAGGAGTGAATCATTAAATCTTTGAAATGGGTCAAATCTACTCACATTCTGGAAATCATTAACTTCAATTGCTTCTTCAGCTCCACTTCCTATTTTAAAGGTCTCCAGGTTGTTCCCAGCATCTATTTCCATTGATCCCTCCTGTATTTTTCCGTTAATACTCATGGTATAATGGACATTATAAATCTGGAATTGAACATAAGGAGTTAGTGCTTTTCTTTTTTTAAAGCAATCAGTGGCTTTTTAGCCCTTCAATATACAATATGACTTTCATTTTTTCCAAGGCCCCTAACATCTGTCGTTAACAGTTATACATGTATTTATGATAGAACCTCATCCACGTTAATCCCTCAATCAGTTCTTTAAAAACCTTAAATGTCTTTTGTTCTGCCCCCCTTCCAGCTGAATGGGAAATGGTATTGGCAAGATGCCTAGGGGGATGTGCTGGGTTGAGGGAAACCAGTTTGTATTAGTAGTAGTGGCTTAATCAAGAATAGGTTTTAAGTAATACAACAGACAGGGTTAACAAATATTGCTTGTTGGGGTGGTTTACAGAATCACAATCCTAGAGCTTGTTATACAGAATATATAGGATTTTACAGAATCACAGCATCTTAGAGCTTGTTAAATAGCTTGCATTTGTTTTAAGCAAGGTCAATCTTCATGTCTGTATTAGACCAGTATAGGGAATTTCTCATTATAATGAACTCCCAAGGCATTCAGATTGTGTTGTTATGTGTCATTTTGTTAGAATAGAACTAGCAATCACATTCATCTCCTGTTTTGCAGACAGAATTGGTGCCCAGACTCCTCTTTGATAAATTAGCAAGTATCATAAAGAAAATGTTCCTGGATCTTCTTGTGTGTTTATTATTTTTTTTTTATACTTAGTAATTTAAAGCAGTTCAGTGTATCAGCAAGTATTAAATTAGGAATCAGATGCACAACTAGGATTGGATCCCAGCTCTGCCATTTGTTACCCACGTGACCTTGGGCAAATCACTTCCTTCTAGACCCAGGTTTGCTAATGTAATTTATGTCAATGGCTTGGATTTTAAAGGAGTGTAGAGCAAGAAGGGAGAAGACTAGCACCATGACCACCTTCACAGGTGTATTAAGCGCCTATTATGTGAAAGGTATAGGGGAATACAAAGACAAAAATGAAACAGTCCTTGCCCTTAAAGACTCTCTGTTCTTCATTATCAGGAGCACAGAAGGTATGGTAAGGGAATTCATTGAGACTGTTGACCTGGGGTTCGTGAACTTGTAGAGTACTTATATTTCAGTATGATGGTTTCCTTTGTAATCCCATGTATTTTATGTATTTAAGGACATTATTCTGAGAACAGGTTCATTGGCTTTACCAGGCTACTAAAGGAGGTTAAGATCCCCTGTTTTAATCTGTGATCTACTTTGGTGACAAAGGAAACTAAAACTTGAATGAGTACAACAGCTTGAGTGGAGGGTACATTTTTTTTTGTCTGGGGGTCTCAGCACAAACATTTCTCATTCACACTTCACTGTTGGTACCCGAACCCACATTTGCACACACAGTCCTCACTTCTATAGGCGAGCTTTGGTTCTTTTCATTTGCTTAATCAGCACTTACTGGTGCTTGGATAAATAACAACATCAGGAGAATGAGATGAGAGGCATTAATAATCATTATAAAAACAGGATGATAAGGAGACACAACATGGATACTACTAATATAAGCTGGTTTCCCCTAATACAAGGTATAGAGAGCTGGCCCCTTGAGTGGGGAAGCCCTGGGTTATAGTTCTGCTTTTGACACATACTGGTTGGGTGATGCTAGGGCCCCCAGGAAACTGAAGATAAGTTGCAGAACAGTTACAGGTCTGCTTTGTTAGCAAAAGTTTCTCCATTGGGGGTTCCCTACCCTACAATAACGATCAGAGGTCAGATAAATAATAACGATAAGACATCTGTATAGCTTTAGAGTTTACATACATTTATCTTATTTGAGCTATGGTAAGTTTTGGAGACAGCTTGAATCCAGTATGAGTAGCAGTTGATAAAGGAGCAAGAAAGGTTGAGCTATAAAAACAAGGCATTGGGCTCCAGTGGGGTCTCTGGACTCATGAAACAACTTTGTAAAAACTATTCATATTTTTAGAAACTAACGACCATTGCTACGTAAGGACCGTGAACTGTCTTGTTCGCCTCAATACTGGTGTCTTCCAAAATGCAAGTAGGTGCTTTTAACAAAGCATATACAAGATTGATTTGATTGCTGTAACCAATGAGATCATTTGAAAAAAAATCAGTCTACAAAGAAAGGATCTAAATATATTATCTATTGCTACTGTTGTTACAGGGGATAGAGTAACCTGATGTTTCATATTCAGAGGATTGCCATTTTTTTTTTCAGTTTTGCCCACTTTTTATAGCTTATTTCAGGATTACAAGTCCATATTTGAGACCAATCACTACTTAATTAGCACTCAAAGCACCATTTAATCCAAACTAAAATGGCATAAAACTAGGAAACAGATCCATATGAAAAGGATCCTAGCTGAATTATAGTTAACTTTCATCTATCCATACCATTGGAGGGGAGCAGTGGTATGGATAATCTTTTTAATTTTAGAATGTCTTTTAAAACAGCAAATGTACCTTCCCAATTAAAGTTTTGTTTGGACTATTAAAATTAGTTTATGTTAATAGGAAGCGGACCTGGAACTGAAAATCAGTGAATATATACAGTACACAGTTGTCTCAGTGTATGTGTAAATCATTCAGCAAGTTATCATAAAGTGCCTACTATGTGCCAGGCACTGGAGATACAAAGACAAAAAAATGAGAGTCCTGACCCACCAAGAATTTACATTTTATAGGGAAATGGGGAGCTGTCTCCCTCCCCCAACAGGTACACAAGATAAGTAAATAGAAAATAGTAATTAGGTGAGGCTGGGAAAATGAATGAAGCACTAGCAACCGAGGGATCTGGAAAGACCTTGTGCTGAGTCTTGGAAGGGACCTGGGAATTCCAAGAGGTGAGGAGGTGGAGAGCATTCCAGACTTGAAGGCTAGCTTATGCAGTGGCCAAAAAGCGGGAAAAGGGATACAGGGTACGGTAGCATCAGGGAGGCCAGGTTGGCTTGAATGTTGAGTGGGCAGGAAAATCCTGGAAAGATGAGTTAGAGTCAGACTGTGCAGGGCTTCAAAGGCCAAACAAGAGAGTTGGTATTATATCCTAGAGGCAATAGGGAGCTTGGGAAGCATCTTGAATGTGAATGTGATACAGTGGAGGATAGATTGGAAAGTGTAGAGATACTTGATACAGGGAACCAAGTAAGAAGCTATTGCAATAGTCCAAGAATAAGGTAATGAGGATTTGATTTAGGATGAGAGAAAGATTAAGATTAAGATTAGAGAGAAAGAGATGAATCCAAAGAAACATGGAGGTTGAAAATGGGCATTTGACTCTACTAAGTATTTTGTTCAAAATCTTTCATATGTATATAATATACATTTGCAAGTATATAAGGCTCCAGTGAGGGTTTTGCAGAAATAAAATAACTTAAGAATACACCATAATTCTCTTTATGATCCTGGTAAAAATGCTAAAAGTGGCTTTTATTGTTGACAGTTACGCGCTTCACTATTCCTGGGAATTCTTAGCATCATTTTCATGAAACAAAACTAATCAACTTGTGACCAAACAAGACATGAATAAGCTTCACTTACTGTGTATGATGCTTTATCCTCTCATTTTAGAATCTTGTGAATTAGAAATATTTTTCTTAAATAATTGACAAGTGGCATAATTAATTTTAATACATAGCACAGTCCAACTACATAAAATCCAGTTATTTTTATCATGATATGGCAGTGAGACTTGGGATATTTATTTCTTTACTCTTTTCATCTAAAAGTATGAATTTATAGTCAAATACCATAAAGCTTCCCAAAGGGGAGACTCAGTATTTGGTAGAGATTTAGGAGTTGAAATCAATTCATCTGTCCAGAACTCCTGCTTTAAAATGGGAGCATATGTCCCAGTTTTTACATTTAAAATACAAATACAAGCTAAACACTGCCATTCTCATCTTACAGAATGATGCTTTAAAATTTGATGTGGCCCCTGTATACAGATTCGATGGTATTTGGCATGCTTGCTTATCTGCATTAGGCCGTGGAATTCAGAATACAAATCGTGTAATGTCTGTAGAAGATGTTGTGAGGTGCAAAACGGCTGGATTGCCTTCCACACCGTTTTCTCTAAGTACTGGAATTAGCTCATGCTTTGAATTCCTCGGAGAGGGGGAGGAGGGAAAATGAAGTAGAGAGGGATCAAGAGAAGAGGAGGGAGTGAAGAAGGGGGAGTAGGGAGTAAAAAATCTCTGGAGAATGATTAAGAAACAGTCCATTGTATGGTTTGGGGATGGAGATGGATTCCCCCTTCTCCCCCCCCCCCCCCCCGTTCCTAGAAATAAGCTCACGTTAGACCATGAGCAATAGTTATTGAGGTAAAATGCCCTTTTTCCATAGACGAACAAAATTATTGCCCTTTAAAATACACATTGGGACTCTTCCAAGTGAAGTTTGAAACAATTTTGTTTCTTGGACTCTTGAGAAAATAAATATTTGTATACAAATAAAGTGGGGAGGCAGTTCGGTGGAATATTTATTATAAAACCAAAGGAAGAATTGATTTTTAAATATTGTTTAACATTTTTCAGGGCCCTCCATTTTATTCCTGCACTTGAGGGAGAAGGGGAAGTCGCTGCGGAAGTCAGTTGAAACGGCCTTGAAAGGTTAAGTTCATTCCAATACCTGGTTCTGGATGCTCCCTTCAAAGACACTTGGAGCAATCAGCTAATTTTTGGAACGTACATTTCATCTCATTAGACTTTAGCCCTCTTAGGATCATAATCCTTCAGAGCTAGAAAAGTCAGAACCCTTTAGAACTCAAAGATCTGGTTTGTATATCATTTTACAGATGAGGAAAGAGTCCCAGAGAAATTGTCTCTTGTGGAAGGTCATACAGCAAATGAATCTCAGAGCCTCGACCATAACCTAGGTCTTAATGCAGCCCTCTTTCCATTACACTAATTTCTTCTTGGTTTCTTTTAGTATTCATGAGTTCCCTAATGCCATAAAACTCATCTCTATTGGAATTTAACTAACTCATTGGGCTCCCACGCAAGCCCTCGGGGCTCCTCCCAGGGGCGGCTTGGGGGCGTAGCTGAGCAAGGGTCCAGACCTTCTCCCCCCTCCCCACCGACAACCTCCAACTCCTTCCGTGCCGTGAGCTCCAAGCGCACCTGGCGCACCAGGCGGACCCGGAGCAATAAAGAGTTCGCGCCCCGCTTGCCGCCGCACCCCAGGACTCACATGTTTGTCATTCACCTTCCAGAAGTAAAAGGCGCCGATAGCCCCGAAGAGCAGCAGGAGCGCCCCCGATATGAGGACCACGGCTCCGATCTTGAGCAGCCGCCCGGGGCTGGAGGGTCTCACTGCCACCGCTGTGTACGCCTGTGGAGGGGGGACAGGGACGGGGAGGGCAGAAGGAACAGCTTCCACACTCTGCCTCGCCTGCGGGGGCACCGCGCGGGAGCCTGGTAAGGGTCGAGGGGCCAGGGGCTTAGCTCCAGTGTCTTCCCCATCCCACAGTGGTTCCCCCCTTCGGTTCCTTCCTGCTGAGTGGGACGTGGCGTAAGTTTGAGCTTCACCACGAACATGGGTGCCTCAGTAACACGCACACTTTGCCCTTGGATCTGTTGGAATCTGCACTCCCACGCGTAATGGTGTTTACATGGATCCCCCCTCCCTCCTCACGCACTTGTGCGATGGGTTCAGTCTGATGGCTTTCCTATGCCCCGTCGCACATTCGAGTACATGCAGACACCGAACCCAAGCAAAGTCACACACAACCCTACATCAAGTGCCCTGCCATCTCAACACCAAGGCCTGGCTGTGTGCTCCCGTCCCAGGAATCCGGGCGCAGTACTCACGGGTGGGCGACACTGCTCCACGTCCTCTGGGCCTGCTAGGGCGATGGGCACTTTGTCTGAGCTCTCTGCCATGACTGGTCAGGCAGGCGTGAGGCTCCACCAGGAGTGGAGTGGAAGTGCTACTTTCCAACCGGCCCCAAAGTGATGGGCGTTTCAACTCCCTCCCTCCACCCTTCCACACTTTCACACCCACTGGGCAGACCCTCCTGGCCCAGCCCAGTTTCCCATCTCCTCCCACTGCCTACCCTTCCTCTAACTTTCTTTCCCTCCTTGCAACCTGAGCACTATTTCCCATACTGAGATTCAGTGAACAGTGACCCTACTGCTCCCTTTGCTTCTTCGGGGCAAGGAAAGACGACTCTCCGCCCTCTCTGCTTTATCAAGGACCCAGAAACAGTCTCCCTACAACTATTTAGCCCCCATGCCTAAAACCTATTGGTGTTTGAGAGGTCTGGTGATACAGAACAGTGAGGAAGGAGCGGAGACCTCATTTGTTGGTACTGTTGCCCTCCATCCAACCTCAGGAATAGCACTTCTAGGTCTGGATTCTTTAGGGGAATGGGCATTTTCCAAAGGGTCAGTTGGGGGTATAGAATTCAGGGGAGAGAATGGAAGATTCTTTGCTATAGGAAGCATTTCTTTGCTAAAGGAAGCCAATGGTAGTAGTTTTGTCCAGGTTTTTTTTTTTTTTTTCATCCCTACTAAGTCAGACCACCTGAAATCTTTAGACTGCTTCTCTGACCAGGAGTGTGAAGCAGCATCCACAATCATCCTTATGATCCTGCCCCTTTGAGAGAACTAAGTGAAGGACATATACCAAGAAGCAACTAGAGGGAGAATAGAAAGCTTGCAATTACAGAGAGGGAGAGGTGCTCTTCAGAGACACAAATTTGATGAAGAAATATGAGTCAAAAAAGACCATGAAACATACAAAACATGTCTAGAAATTAAAACCTACCCCTAAAACAAAGTTAATACAGGTATGGTTTTTTATTTTTTGAAAATACCTACTCCGACTTGCCTCAGAGCAGGCATCAACATTTGTAATCTATTAAATTGTAATTGTTCATTCAATAAGCATTTATTGAACATTTTTGCTCACCCTCCTCAGATCCTCCTCCTGCCTTCTTCCCTGGCTTACTTCAAGTCCCATCTAAAATTCTACCTCCAATTATGTGCAAGGCACTGTGATAGGTGGTGAGAGGAATACAAAGGTAAATATGACACTACTCTCAAGGAACACGTGTTTGGTAGGGGAGATAAAATACATAACAAAATATAAATAATGAAATCACCCATTATGTGGCAAAGATTGAGGAGGGGGTCGTTGTTATTAGTGAGGAGTAATCAGGGAAAACTTCATACTGGGAAGTTACATTTGAACTGAACCTTGAAAGATTTTAATAGGACAGGAAATAGAGGTGAGGGGATTCCCGAAAGATTGGGACAACATGACCAAAGAAAGGCACAGGTAGGTAATGTGTGTTTGGAAACTGAACCCTATAGGTATCTTCAACTCAACATAAGCAAAACGGAATTTTCCCCTTCCCTTATCCCCATCTGCTCCTCTTGCTGACTTCTCTATTACTTTCCAGGGCAACACCATCCTTTCAGTCACGCTGGCTTGTAATCTAGGAGGTCATTCCCTACCCCTCACTGTCTCTCACCCCTGTAGCCAATGTGTTTTCAGGTTCAGACTATTCTACTTCCCAACATATCTCTTACACACACCCTTCTCTCCTATGATACTTCTACCACCCTCTTACAGGCCCCTATCATATAGATTGTTGCAGTAGCCTTCTGGCTGTTCTCTCTACTTCAAGGTTCTCCCCACTCCAATCTCTTTTCCTTTCAGCTGTCAAAGTGATCTTAAAAGTAATCGTGTAACCATGTTACACGCACACCCTTCCTTCCATTCAATAAACTCCAAAGGTTCTCTGTTACCTCCAGAATCAAATATAAATTTTTCTGTTTAGCTTTTTTTTTTAACAGCACACTTTAAAGTTTAATTCACATTATTCACATTTTGTCCATAACTTTTCAAAATCAACAATCAACAAAACAATAAAGCCCTTATTTGTAACATTTGCTGACTTCTGAGATGTAAATGGCTATGTTCCAAATTTAACTCACACAAGCCAGTACGAGCCAACTCCAGTACATCCCTGCTTTTATCTCAACAATATCTCAACTGCCTATTGGGGATGTCATACCTTAGAACTCACCATCACTCAAAACTGCTTATCCTTCAGTATCTTAAACTCTGATATTCCCATCTCTGGTCACAATCACCTCTTTTTCTTCTTCTCCCAACCTTCAGTCCTGAACCTGCTTTTCATTTTCATCATGACTTCAAGTCCTTTGATTTCCCTTCTTTTTTCTCCACATCCATTATCCTTACTCTATTTTGCTTCTCATCCTTCACAAGCTTATTCCTCTGGCAAGCTAATTAAAAGGTAGATGCTCATCAATGTTTGAATCTCATGCCACTTTAAACTTCTACTGTTCCTTCTCTGCTCATCCCCAATCCTGGATTCTCCTCTCTAACTACCTTGTTAGGCCTACTTTGGAGGAACATTGTGCTACTAGAGGAATTAAAAAAAAATTGGGTCCTCTAAAAATCAATTGTATCCTCACAGGTACCTGGCAATCTTTTTTATCCATTTCTTCTCAACTCTATTATATCATTCAGAGTCACTGATCCTGACCTTCTCTCTCCTCAAGTTTCCAACCTTTGCTCTTTTCTTTCTTTTTCTTCCCTTTCTTTCTTATTTATTTATTTTAGTTTTCAACGTTCATTTCCACAAGATTTTGAGTTCCAAGTTTTCTCCCCATCTAACTCCTCCCCCACCCCAAGATGGCATGCATTCTGAATACCCCTTCCCCTAATCTGCCCTCCCATCTATCACCTCCTCCCCTTCTCTTATCCCCTTCCCCTTCTATTTTCTTGTAGGGCAAGATAGATTTCTATACCCCATTGCCTGTATATCTTATTTCCCAGTTGCATGTAAAAACAATTTTTTAACATTTGTTTTTAAAGCTTTGGATTCCGAATTCTCTCCCTTCCTCCCTACCCACCCTCATTGAGATGGCAAGCAACTTGATACAGGTTATACATGTGTAATCATGCAAAACAGTTCCATGCCTTCCCCCCCCCCCTTTATTCTATTCTCTCTTTTGACTCTGTCCCTATTTAGAAGTGTTTGCTTCTGATTACCCCCCCAATCTGTCCTTCCTTCTATCATACCCCCTCTCTTATCCCCTTCCCCCCCTATTTTCCTGTAGGGTAAAATAGATTTCCATACCCAATTGAGTGTGTATGTTATTCCCTCCTTAAGCCAAATCGATGAGAATAAGATTCACTCATTCCCTTTCACCTTCCCCCACTTCCCTTCCACTGTAAAAGCTTTTTCTTGTCTGTTTTATGTGAGATAATTTACCCCATTCTACCTCTCCCTTTCTCCTTCTCCCAGTATGATCCTCTCTCCCTTTAATTTTATTTTTTAGATATCACCCCTTTATCTTTAACTCACCCTGTGCCTTCTATCTATGTATACATATATATATTTTTTTCCTCCAACTACCCTAATACTGGCAAAGGTCTCATGAGTTACAAATATCATCTTTCCATCTAGGAATGTAAACAGTTCAACTTTAATAAGTCCCTTAAGATTTCTCTTTCCTGTTTACCTTTCATGCTTCTCTTAAGTCTTCTGTTTGAAAGTCAAGATTTCTTTTCAGCTCTGGTCTTTTCATCAAGAATGCTTGAAAGTCCTCTATTTCACTGAATATCCATTTTTTTCCCCTGAAGGATTATACTCAGTTTTGCTGGGTAGGTGATTCTTGGTTGTAATCCTATCTCCTTTGCCTTCTAGAATATCATTTTCCAAACCCTCCAGTCTCTTAATGTAGAAGCTGCTAAATCTTGTGTTATCCTAATTGTGTTTCCACAATATTTGAATTGTTTCTTTCTGGCTACTTGCAATATTTTCTCCTTGACCTGGGAACTCTGGAATTTGCCTATAATATTCCTAGGGTTTTCCTTTGGTGATCTCTTTCAGGAGGTGATTGGTGAATTCTTTCCATTTCTATTTTACCCCCTGGTTCTAGAACATCAGGGCAGCTTTCCTTGATAATTTCTTGAAAGATAATGTCTAGGCTTTTTTTTTGATCATGGCTTTCAGGTAGTCCAATAATTTTTAAATTATCTCTCCTGAATCTATTTTCCAGGTCAGTTGTTTTTCCAATGAAATATTTTACATTGTCTTCTATTTTTTCATTCTTTTGGTTTTGTTTTACAATTTCTTGATTTCTCATAAAGTCACTAGCTTCCATTTGCTCCATTCTAATTTTTAAGGAAGTATTTTCTTCAGTGAGCTTTTAGACTTCCTTTTCCATTTGACCAATTCTGCTTTTTTAGGGCATTCTTCTTCTTATTGGCTTTTTGGACCTCTTTTGCCATTTGGGTTAGTCTATTGTTTAAGGTGTTATTTTCTTCAGTATTTTTTTTTGTCTCCTTTAGCAAGCTATTGACTTATTTTTCATGATTTTCTTGCATCATTCTCATTTCTCTTCCCAGTTTTTCCTCTACTTCTTTGATTCATATTTTTCATGAAGACTTTGGATGTAGGAGCTTTGACTTTATTGGTTGTATGTTTTGATCTTCTTTGCCACCAAAGTAAGATTCTATGGTCTGACCTTTTTTGCGCTGTTTGCTCATGATCCCAGCCAATTTTTTGACTTTTAAACTCTTTGTTAAGGTAGGGGTCTGCTTCCAGTGTGGAGAATGTACTATCCCAAGCTTTGGGGGTTTTGTGCAGTTGTTTTCAGAGATACTTCTAGGAACCTGTAAATTTTCAGTTCTTCAAAGGTGGTATGATCGAAAGTGAGGTGTTTAGTCCTTTCCTGGCCTGTGCTCTGGTCTATAAGTGACCGCAGGCACTCTTTTCTGCCTTGTAACTGTGAGGACGATTCCCTCTCCACTTCCACTACAAGTTCCACTAGGCCAGCACTGCTCCTTGCCCCAGGACCACCACTCAGAACTGTGACCCAGATCCAGCCATCCTGCCTCA